ATACTTTTCTTTTTATTTTTTTTTTTACCAAACAAATCTCTTGGAACCCATATGTCTTTTCTAAAAGAGAAGTCTTTGGATTTACTTTACTCCATAGGTCGAAACTTCCCTCCCACTTCTGTTGTTATTTATTTCCATTTACAGGTGGAGTCTCAAGTTTTTCTTAGATTTGAGCTAAAATTTTAGTTTATGAGATTAAGAGTTGCCAAGTTGATAATTCCATAAACATTTATACTGATAAGAGTTATTATCTGATTAAAGCAGAAACGAAAATATTTCATCTAAAGGACATAATTTAGACATCATTCTTTGTCTTTTAGATCAATAAATAATCATGGATACTCCTTTGTTTATTAAATTTGAAACTTCTATCATTGTCAGAACTTAGATGTGATAGAAAATATGGCAAATGTCATTTTAAAAAGAAATAATTGTTTTTGCATTATTTAGTATTTTATAAGTTTTCTTCTAAGGAAGAAAACCTGACCTGCTTTTATTTTTTTTACTCTTTATAAATTTTAAATCTGCAAGTTGAGCTTTCCTTATAGGGAAGGAAACCTCAAGCTTATATTTTATTTCATTTTATGTTTCCTTCTTGAAACCTTAATTGTGACTTCTATAAAAAGTGACCATGCAGCACATGTAAGGAAGTTCTTAGAGTTGGAATGAATTGCTGAATTTTGTGAATGTTTCTCAGCCTTGCGTCTCTCCCCTTCTATTCCCCTATCTATCAGTTCTGCGTTCCTCTTCACTTCCCCTGCTTTCTCTATTTTCTGTCATCTCTCCCCTCTGTTTTTGCTCCCCCTTCACCTCTCACTCTCTGATTCTGTTTCTTCTTCCTCATCCTATTCTGTTCAAATCAATGTGAGTGTGTGTGTTTTACATCAAGAAGTGTGTTGAACTTGCATTTAAACCAACAAGTTTCTATTTTATTGAAAAACAAAAATCATTACCCCTCGCCCAAGGAAAAACAATAATGACAAACATGCATCGCAAATTGACGTAAAGCTAATAAGAAATAAAGATTCATCAGAAGACGAATAAATTGGAATCACCTTCTGGAAATCTTGAGGTGTAACTCCAGGGAGGTAAAAGCAATTGACGTGATGGAGAAGGAGCAAAATGCACAGAGGGATCCATTGATGACGAGCGAGAGGCCCTCTCGCCATTTCTTGGAAGTTAAATTCCGATCTTCTTCACTCTCTAATTCTCTTGCTCCGACTCTGAACGTTGTGTGGTGTTGTGAATTGTGACGTGTGCCTCTCTGTCTCTCTCTGAGTCTTCGAACTTGTGACTCTCTGGTTCGTTTCGTAACGGAAAAGCATTTTGGACAAGAAATCGCCACAGGGACACAAGTGTGAGGATTTGCGAGACATTTGCCTGGCTAATTGGTGTTTTCTTCGCCGTCCGATTCATGAATCTCGGCGATGAGAGGTAAAGATTCGAGTTAACAGTTTTAACGGTTATGAAGGTCATGTCACGTTGTAAATTGCAAGATTGACTTCAAAATTAGTAAAAAAGTATATATTAGAGCTTTCATATGAAATCAATTATTTTTTAAAAGTTAATATGTGATTTAAACTCCAAAACTATATATTTAAAATTAATTTTAATTCTAAACTTTGAAAAGGTATATTTTAAATTTTAAATAATTAAAGTTGAGGTAATTTTGCCTCTATTATTAAATTTCAACAAGTGTTCATTAGTTTTTTTAAAAGTGTAGTCTAATATACGATTTTTACTAAATTTTACTCTCTGTCTATCTCCTACATTGATGTAATGAAAGTTGCACATTGAGCTTCAATTTGACAACTGTTTGTTTAAACTTTTAACAATAGGGATGAAATTGTTTCAACTTAATTATTTAATGTTCAAAATGTACTTTTTAAAAGTGTAGGATTCAAATCGTCCCTAAATTTATAATTTAAGATTTAAATTGTATATTAACTCAATTTTTAATTATATTTAATTACATTAATAGAATTTTGGCATATTTGGTGTCGATTTGATTTTTATGACTCTCATATTTTCTTTCAAGGGTAAATATGGTTTTGATTCCCAATGGTAACTATAGGTTTCGCAAATTACATGAGGCATGAAAAATAATCATATCATTCATGATTTATAAATAAAAAAATATAACTTTTGATCCCTACACTTTACTTTTTGATCCCTATACTTTGCTCGTATTTGCTATAGATTCCTGTACTTTTTTTTGTGTTATAGGTCCCTACATTTTCATTCTAGTGTTTTAGGTTCCTAAATAAACAAAATGAACAAAGTGCAGGGATCTTAAATGAATGTAAAACACCGAAAAATAAAAGTGTAGAGATACAAAATATTGAAAAAAAGTGTTAGAACCTATAACAAAATATCAACAAAGTACAAGGATTAAAAATTATGTTTTTCCTATAAATCATATACATAATCCATAACATAATTGCAAAATACCCTTATTTTCTGTGTGGCATTTAATTTTTTTAGTTAAACTTGTTATTTTAATGGGAGTTAAATAGAATTATTTATCATGAAGTTTTTACAAAATTAAATTGTTATTCATCCAAGTAAGGTTAAAATGTATAAAACTCCCTTAAATTTTGAAATAATTACATGTAATCCCTTCACTTTTAGAAGTTTAAAATAAATCTCCTTAATCTTTAATTTTATTTTTCAAAACACCCAGGTTGATTATATTATTTTTTTATAAGGGTTAAAATGTTATTTAAATAAAAAATATTGTTAAACAAAAATATTATATTATAAAACTATTTATAATCAATTTTTTATAGTTTTTAGATAGTTAAGGCATTAATAACAAAAAAGATGTTATTATCACTATATAAAATTTTAAATATTTACAATTATATTAATTTTATTGATTTTTTTAATTATCAGTGATGCATAGTTTTATTATTTTAAAGGATAAATTTTTATTTATAATTTCATGTTAGATTAATGTAATGCATGATTAAAATATTTAAAATTTTATATGATCATAATAACATTTTTTTTACTATCAATATCTCAACTATTCAAAAATATAAGAAATTAATTTTTCATAATTCTATAGTATAATATTTTATTTAATAATATTTTTTTAGTTAAACGAGATTTTAACCCTTATGAAAAAAATATAATTAACAATATGAAATTTTGAAAAACAAAATTAGAAGTTACACTCTCGGAGGATCAATTTTAAACTTGTAAAAATTAGAAAGGTCATATACAACTTCCAAATTTAAAATTTTTTACATAGTTTAGCCCTCAAATAATAATTATATGAAGTATAATGTAGAGTCATTTAAAGGAATTAAACTTATCAAGCTAACTCATTCTATTTCCTCTATTACTTTCAGTATATTTAATTTATTCATGAATTACTTCCCGTTCATGTTAATTCAACCTAAATAATAAATTATAACTCACAAAATATACATTTTAAGCATTAGCCACAGGATTCATAAGAAAATAAATAATAATTAAATAACTAACTGCAGGCGTTTATTCCCTTAGTTTTGCATCATCCCTCCTCTTGCTTTCTTTCTTAGTTTTAATCTTTTTGAGTTTTTTTTAATAGCATAAAGACAGCAAATATTATCTCCCCCAAGATATAATAGGCAACAAGTGAACCTCTCCCAATCTTTGAGTTCTATAATATACTTTTTGTAATATACTTTGTAATATACTTATTTCTTTTGATGGAAAAGAAGGGAAAAGCCTCGAAAAGCTTTGGAAAATTCTTAAAAAAGTGCTTATGACTGTATACCAAAAGAAGTGTTTTGAAAAGTCTTGAAAAAGAAGAGAGTACGAATTACTTATATTAAAGTTATACAAAATATGTATGAGGGGGTAAGAATTAACATAAGAACGTCTAGTGATCAAATAAAAAACTTTTCTATAAAGATTGGACTATATCAAGGATCATCTTTAAATCCTTATCTGTTTATCTTAATCCTAAATGTTTTGACGGAACATATTCAAGAAAAAATTCTCAAATGTATGCTATTCACGAATGATATAATTCTTATAGCAAAGACAAGAGAAGAAATTAATTGTAAACTTAAGTTATGGAGGAGGACATTGGAGTTGAAAGGTTTTCGTCTGAGAAAGAATAATACAGAATATATATATTGTAAATTTGATAAGAAACTAGTCAACAATAATTTGAAAGAGAAATTAAGAGATCAAGTTATACCTTAAGTAAAAAAATTTAGATATTTAAGAGTCATTATTTAAAATAATGACAAAATCAGTGAAAATATTTCACATAGGATTCAAGCTGGGTGGTTTAATTAAAGAAAAACTAAATGAGTTATTTGTAATCGTAAAGTGCCTAATAAGCTTAAAGGAAAATTTTATCGTACTGCTATTCAGACCGGCTATGTTATATAGTAGTAAATGCTGGGTTCTAACGGGATAGCAAGAGCATAAAGTTGAAATAGCAGAGATGATAATGTTACGATGGATGTGCAGACATACACGTAAAGATAAAATTCGAAATGAGCACGTACGTGAAAAAGTGAGGCTAGCACCTATTGAAGAAAAAAAGGTAGAAAATCATTTGAGATGGTTTGAACATATACAAAAAAGACCGCGGGAGGCACTAGTGAGAAGAGTGAAACATATAACTTTGAGCCTTGTTAAGAGAAGTAGGGAAAGGCCTAAGAGAACACTCTTGAAAGTTGTTGAACGCGATCTCTTAATTAATAAGATTCCTAAAAGCTTGGTAAATGATAGAGCACAATAGCATCTTGCAATCCATATAACCGACCCTACCTGGTGAGATAAAAGCTTGTTGTTGTTGTTGTATACTTATTTCTTTTACATTTTTCCCTATCATTAATGATATGTATTCAAATATTTCTAAAAGCTTAATAAATGATAGAGCACAATGGCGTCTTGCAATCCATGTAGCCGACCCCACCTAGTGGGATAAAGGCTTGTTGTTGTTGTATTAATGATATGTATTCAAACCTTAGCAGCAAAGTGCAACAGTGATATGCACAATTAACATCAAGAGAGGCAAACTACTCTTTCAGCTAAAGATCAACAAGTATGATTAACATTGAAGACAAGCTTTGAAAAACCAAGCCACTCAGCTCACCACTTACTAATGATGATTTATTTAATCATACTATCATAGAACAAAGCCACCGCCATTGAACCAGAAATCTCTTAATATGGCATTTTTCAATCATATTTCTTTCTTTCAAAACCAGAAACCTCAGCTTACATCTATCTAAGAGGAGTGTTTCAAAACCCATTCCACCAACGTGGCAACGCCGAATCCCGTTGCAGACTTCTTATTGTCACTCCACACTGGACCAGCCAAGTCAATGTGTAACCATTGAACCTTCTCATCAACAAACTGCAAAACCAGAGTTTTCTCAGCAATCCTACATCTACAAATGTAACAGGGTTTTTGGACCGGCTACATGTATTGCATTGCGGCTTTATCTACTACCAATAGTATACGTGAAAAGATATAAAGAGGAAACAAGGAAGTGCATGTTCTCTCTCCGAGATGCATACCTACATTATTACAGAGGATCACCGCACATGTACCAAAACTATTAATAGAAGAAGCAAGAAAATGACACAGTAAGGCAATGTTAGCTACGTGAAAATGTATTTAAAAAAGAATAGGATAGGTGCATTTCACATTTCCTTTCTAAAAAATGCTTTTCTCCGTACCAAACATTGCATAAAGAAGCATAGGCTGCCAAAGCAGCTTTTTTTTTTTTTTTTTTGGGTCCTAACAAGTGTGCTAGTATCAAACCACAAGTCTATCATGGGAAGTTGTATTGCAAAAATATACAAGCAGAAGTTAAAAATTGCCTAGAGGCCTCAAAACAAACAAAATATAATAGAAGAAAATAACAAAATATGAAACCTAATGTAAGTCAAATATACCGCCAGAGACATCTTGAATGTCAAGATAAAGATGAAAACATACACACGGAACTTACCATGGACGAATCCTTGGCAGCGTGGGCTCAAAAGGTTAAAGAGAAATAAGAGAAATAACATGAGTTGAATGACCACAGAAAAAAACCTGTTTCAAAAATAGAGCAGCAGTTATAGCGCCGCCTTGTCTAGCACCAGTGTTCACCATATCAGCCACTCCTGATTTCATTGATTCCCAGTAACTTTCCTCCATTGGCATCCTCCATAGCTTTTCTCCGCCTGCCTCGGCAGCTTCCAATACTTCTTTTGCCAGGTCATCACTGGGTGTAAACACGCCTACAAATCAATAGTTCTCATTAACACACAATTAATAATAAAGTGAATCATTGTAAGAGTTCAGCTCAGGAGAATGCCAAGTGCAGTAAGGGAACAGCCACCAAAGACCCCTGTAACAGTTATAGCTCTTTTAGATCCTACCATTCTCAGTCATTAGGGCCATGTTTGGTATGACTGCGTCTAAGGATAGGGCAAGAGAGAAATGGGAAGTTAAACTTTTTGTGATATCTGTTATTCCCTTGTTATCATTATTTAACAGTGCCTTTTTTCTATTACACTTTTTTTTTTTTTTAAATATGGGCATGAACGAATTTCCTACCTGTTTTTTATTTTATTTTCTCCTTCTATCCCTGACATGGAGTAACAAACATGGCCCAGCTCATGCTTTCCCCAGAATCATAAAATACCTCCCATACCCAACAAAATATTGGGCCTTCTCTGATTCTCCAAAATAAGTTTCCCTCTATGGTTATTAAAGTTAAAACATACTGTAATGCAAGCAAGTTAATATTCACCTGCAATTGAAGGTCCAAGAGCAACTATGCAGGCCCCAGTTAAGGTTGCCAGGTCAACTATCTGTAGAATAGTCAATAAACATATTAGCAAGGTTCAGATAACAAACTATACATCTAACAAGTTTTAATCTTATTCTAAATGAAATTAAAAAAAATGTTAATAGGGGCACTATATGCTTGTAAACAATACGACAAAAATATTCCCAAATCAGCATATGTTTATCAAAACAGTGTATGCACGTCTCGAGAGTCAAGTCAAATTCCATTTGAAGACTGACAATCGCACCACATATTCATCAAATTATCAAATTCTACAAAAGTAAGACTAATCAGAGGCAGGAAATCAGATCTGTTAAGAATTATGTGAATATTAGAAATGTGTGCATGGCCATATAAATAATTGAAGTACCTTTTCAACACCTTGGTTACAAGCATATACCAGAGCATCTGCCAGGGTAAGCCTACCCTCAGCATCTGTGTTGTTAACCTACAAGAGGTTTAAGCCAATGCCAAATGTAACTTCAGATGCTAATAAAAAATCATAAAAGTCGAGTAAGACATGTCATATTTTGTAGCTCTCAGTAAGCCAAAATTCAAATTCAATGATCTTCAGTAGCTAACCACTTGTAAGTTTTGTGACAATGCATTAGGTTCAGACATTATTAGCTCTGCTGTGCAGGACTGATGTTCTTGAAATAATTCCAAAAGTTGAAAGGAAAACGAAAGGAAAATAAATTAATGCATCTCTCTTTCAATTCTAGCTTAAAAAAAAAAAAAAAAGTCTAGTAACAATGCCCTGATCCAATGAAATCAAAATTCTAAGCACATCTTAAATTTATTCTTAACGATAAAATATTCAGTGTAGAGCAGTTCTTTGAATGGTGTGTCCATAAAAGCTATAAATTGAACTGAACTATTTTTAGCAACAAATCCATCAATGAACATAAGTAAATAACCAAGTAAAACAAAACCACATCATAAGACTTGAGTTTTCATCCCAAAACCTGTCATACAAATTAAAGACTTGTTATACAAATCTAAATAAGTATTATATATTTCTTATAACAAAATGAACATCGTAAACTAATCAAGACCCACCTATTGCTATGTGCCACATCCTATAGATTGAAACAATATAATATTTGAAAGAAAAAAAAAAGCCTATTCACCTCTATAGTCTTTCCATTTGAAGCTGTGACAATGTCTCCAGGTCGCATTCCTGTTCCACTTATCATATTCTCACAAGCTGCAACAATAAAATGAACCTGAAATGCAAAACTTTGAACTTTCAATATAATATGCTACATGCAGAAACCAAATTCAATAGATAATTTAATATTTGAAAATTAGATACAATTTTTCTTTTATCCCCAAAAAGTTGAAACCATTATTTGCCACATCTTGCTTACCTAACAACCAAAGGCTTACATTGAAAGATAGAAGGTAAACTACATCCTAATCAATCAACTAGTACATGTCATTCTATGCAAAGGACAAAGTTATGACTCATGAAAAATGATCAATGGCTCACCTCCACTCCAAGAGGCTTGATTTGACCAAGCGCTTTTGCAGCACCTAAAACTGCAGCTGAACCGCCCATGTCAAATTTCATGAGCTCAATTAAACAGCCTGGTCCAGTTTTGATGTTGTAGCCACCACTGGTTACATGCAGATACATTATAAAAAAATAATAATAATACAAAATGTCCTTTATATCCAAAGTTCAAAACTACAAAGTAAAAAATAAATTACCATAAAAAAGTTTTGAAGTAGTCATGGTGTACAAAAACAAAAATTAAATCGAAACTACAAAGGCAATTTGTATATAGAAAAAAGACCCAAAAAAAAAGTAATCTACTTTGTAGCTCATGGCAAACAATATTGACCATAAAGAAAAAAAAAGGACAGTCTTAGGTCGTATCATTTCAACCAATAACAAAAGTTATAATATCATCACCAATTACATAAAAGAAATACAAGCGCATATGGGAAACTTCAGTTTGGAATCATCACTCATTCTAAAATGTGGCTACATTAGAAAGATGCATTTTCTAAAAAGCTCTTATTACCTGTCAAATGTCAAACCTTTTCCAACTAATGCCAACTTGGCATTGACAGGTCCGCTGGGAGGTTTATAACAAAGATGGATAAAATGAGGAGGATTTGCTGACGCTGCAGCAACGCCGAGAAAAGATCCCATTTTCAATTCCTTGCATTGCTCAACATTCAATATTTTAGCTGTCAGAACATCACCATATGTGGAAGCAATCTTCGACGCTTCTTCTGCCAATACCCCTGAGTTAAATAATTCATAAAGGTCAGATCAATTCTGAGAATCAAATAGTAAATCATAAACATATAAGCCAAGCACATGAATGCAAAGAGATTGTAACATTTCAAGACAATATATCTTTTCCAAACACAATAGACACACAAACCTGGTGTGACCACATTGGCTGGAGAGTTTACAAGTTCCTTTCCAAAAATTATTCCAGCAGAAACATCTTCAGCATACTTAAGTTTCTTTTCCAATTCAGGTCCTGCTCCGAGACCAAGAATGTCAACTGATCTAAGAGCTGTTTTCTTGGATTCTGACTTGTACCTGTTATCTTCATGTATTCCCAGTGCAGTCCCTAACAAAGTTCAAGTATACATGTCACAGTTAAAATATATCACAGCTCAAACATTGATAGGTAACCAGACAATTACAATTAGACATATACCAAAATATAAAACAAATACCACATGCTATTGCAGAAGCAGTTTTAAGCTTTGATTCCGTAGAAAGTCCTTCAGATGAAGCAAGAACAATGGCAACATCATTTGCTTGAGCAGACTTTGCAGCTGTTGTAACAGCCTCACCAAAACTCTTAAAAGCAGATGTAGTTGAAGCTGACTGTCCAAGTCCAATCAAGCCAACCCTCTTGAATCCAAGTCCCGGTACCCTAAGAACTGTTGATTGGCCAACTTTTCCAGAAAAATCCTCCTCAGAAGAAGCTTCAGCCAATAAACCACCCAGCTTGGAGTCAAGGCACTTCAGAATCAGATTCTTGAACTTTGCGTTCTCATCTTTTACCATGTCTTTCTCCGTAACACCTACTGCAAGTATGTCCCCTTTCCATTCTGTGACATCAATCTCCTTAGCAGTAAAAGAGATCTTCAAGGAATTTCACAAGCAGAAAAAAAACTTCAGAATTACACTATTAAATCACAACAGAAATAAGAGCACATCTCCCTGATTTTATTTCTAATGAAGAACAATAGTCAACCTCAACACGATGGCATTTCTCCATAACCTTCAAACGTATACAAATATTCAAATTGAAATGTTAACCACAAAGTAAAAATTCTCAGGTCAACAACTTTCGCATCAGACAATGCGAAACAAAATTTTGACAGATTGAAGAAAACAAATCAGTCAATCACATATGCAGTCAACGGGACTACCATTGAATTGGAGTGACTGATACAGTGAGTGTAACACTGAAACCCCAAATACAGTAAGATCAGGATCACTCGTGGATTCTAATTTCTAAGCCAATGCGCCAGGTCAGTGCCAATACAAAACAAGGGCAGAAAGAAAACCACAAAATAACTCATTAACAACAACAAAGCAGAGAGATTGTATGTGACCTTGGGGGTTTCGATATTGGAAGGCTGAGTTAGGCCAAGACTGGCACGAACGAAAGTGTGAGCCATGAACCTCCTTGTTGGATAACACAGAGGCCGAACAGGGGAACAAAGGCGCGACGAAGAAGCAGAACTGAGCCTAAAGGAGAGAAACAATGAAGAAGAAGAAAAGGCAGAGGAAGTAGCGAGAAATGAAGCCGCAAACGAAACTACAATGGAAGCCATTTATAATGAACCATCAGAGGAATTCGGATGCGCGTTGGGTTCAAAGATAACAGTAACGTGACGGGTGGCTTGACACCACCAGCATCTTCGGCAGCGGCCTGCGACATTTGGATCGCCGCTTTTTTGCTCTGTGTTGGATATTCCTGGGAAGAATTACAATTAAATCCCAAAAAATAAAAATGTGAGATAATGATAATAATTTTTTTAAATTATATAAAAGACATTTTAATTTTTTAAAATATCATAATTTTTTAAAATGTTTAAACATTTTTTGTCATTAAAAATTAATATAAATAATTAAATTACTTTTAATTTAAGTGAATTGTGTTAAATTCTTATAATTTTAAAAAAATTATAAATTTTAAAATAAAATTTGTGAATAATAATTGATATTTGTAACATTTAAAGAATATCAATATTTTAAATTTAAACTTATAAATTGTTATTGAATTTTTATAATTTTAAAAAAAATTATAAATCTTAGAATAAACTTGTGAATGGTAATTAATATTTCAATTAAGAGTAATTTTATCATTTATAATAATTCTTTAATGACAGAAAAATTCATAAAAATTTTAGCAAAATTATGACATGTCATTTATATAATTTAAAAGAATTTTATTGTTATTTTATCTAAAATTAGTGACATTTACATTTTTATAAAAAAAATTATATACTTAATGTTATATATTAGACTATTAGTTTTAATTAAATCAAGATTTATGCATTTTTTCTTAAGATCTAACTATCATTAATTTATTCTTTTAAAATTTTTTTATTATTGTCTGGAGCTTGAATATTTACATCTACTAACATTGCTTCCTCTTTACATATAACATATCTAGGCCATTGGTTTAGGATAAAAGATTTTGAAAAGAATTTCAAACTAATATTATCAATTTATTTGATATTTATGAAAATATTTATGTTAGTCATGCCCTTAAAAAATGGAGAGAATGAACATATTAAATATTTTTAATACTTTCAAAAAAATTTAAACATAAATTATATATACTTTATAATTTTTTTACATTTTTTGGTTAAATATTTCTTTATGTAAATATTAGTTCATGGTTATGATGAAATTTATTTTATAATTTTATATATTATTTAAAAATATTAAATTAATTATAACTGGACCGATTTAATTACAATCTAATTATTAATCCTTAAATTAATGATTGTACATTAGTTATTTTTTTCGTTATCTACTGATGTAAACAGTTGCAGTGACAATAAATATTTTGACCTATTGTGTCGTCATTTCGTCACTAAAATCAAGCTTAATTTTTATTCTTGTCACTGTCATTTCAAGCCCTTTTGGCCCACATCAAATGATTAAAATAAGCCAGAATATCATATTGTCAATATATGTGAACCCTTCAATTATTTTATATCAACAGATAATGGAAAAGATGATAGGTCTCTGACATAAATGTAATTTTTTTCTTAAAAAAATTATTTAGGCAAAATATTATTTCACTTTTAGTGTAGGATACTTAGCACTCTTAAAAAAAATTAAAAAAAAAGATATTTAACTCATTTATCATACAAGTTAAAAGTGCTCGGCATGCTGCATGTAATTCGGATGTTTTAGTAATTCTAACCTTACTCATCAAAATCTTAAAGGGCAGATTTTATGGTTCCTCATATCGACTAGGTATGGCTTATCTCGTTTCATCTCATTTATTCCATTCACACAACAGAATGATTTTCCAAGAGCATAGAACGTATCATATTCCCATTAGCGAAGCTTTATGTGTGGAAATTAGTTAAAAAAAAAATACAAAAGATAGAAAGCAAAATGCTTCTGTCCTTTGGAATAATTACCCAAAATTAAACTAAAATTTAGAGGGCAGGCCAATCACCTAACTACACATGAAAATAATATTTTTAAACTCATAATTTTAAATAAAGTCATGATAGAGATATAAAATTAAGACATAGACTTGAATTGTAAACTCTTAAGAGTTTATTTTTTATTAATAAATAGTCTTTAAAAGTATATGATTAAATAATTAAAATATAAAATATGATCATAATTTAATTTAAATATATTTCAAATATAAATCATTGAGATTAAATTTGTTTACATTCATAGATTATTATATTCAACATAGAAATTTTAAAATAGGACAACTTATTTTTGATATTTTTTATTTTCTCTTTTTATTAATATTAGTTTTTGTTTTTTTTAGTTTTATTTTTCATTGAATTGGATCATACCACTTCTATGAATCAAATTCTACCTAGTATATACCTATTTTTCTTAATGAGTTTATGAGTAGATTAACAAAATTTTATAAACTAGAAATGTAAAAATGATAAACTCGAAAAATCAATTCACAAGTTTAACTGCATTTTATTTAATTCAGATTTACGAGCAAGTTAACACAATTTTATAGGCTATAAATGTCAAAAATGATAAATTTGTAGAATCAATTTAAAAGTTTGACAACAAAGCATGAGAATACACATACAACATACATACATTACCTTTTTTTTTCTCATTTGAAATAATTTTAAAGAGGGAGCTTATGCCTTTTTTTTCCTCATTTGAAATACTTTTGAAAAGCATATTCTCTTTAAAAAAAAAATCTATTCAAGGAATATGGTTTTTCTAAGAAAAAATGTTGGAAAGAAAAACACAACTCATGATTCTTTTTCTCTTATAATTTTATCTTCCACATACTTTTAATCCATCCAAAGATAAGATAAGTATATTAACAAAGTGATGAGATGATAATCTTGAGTGATCTTGTGCTTTCTTCAAGTTCCCTCCAAGCCTATTAAAAATATGAACAACAATTTTTTTTTTAGTGTCATTTTGTAAAATATTTACCACTTCACATTATCATACACACCATGATAGACCAAGTCCAAGAGACAAACTTACTATGAGAATCTTTTCCCCAGTAACAAACAGTGGCAAGCCTAAAATCTGGGACGAGAAGAGTGATATTTCTTTTTTTAAAAAAATGCAAATGATGATGATGATAATATTATCATGTAAAAATTAATATAAAAATGATTAATTATACAATATATATATATATATATATATTTTTCACGTCTAATGGCCAATTTACTATGGAGGTCCATGAGGTGTATTGGTCATGTCCTTTTGTTGGTCAACATTAATTCAGATGCAGCTTTTTGTAAGTTCACTTCTGCTGGTCTTATTTCTTTGTGCATAAATGATAAGGGTGATTTCATTGAAGGTTAGATGGAAATACTCTTAGCTAGTACTAGTTTTATGGCTAAACTTTTGGCTGTTAAGAAAGTAGTAAAGATGGTGAAAGAATTTTTCCCAACTAAGGTCGTTGTTGAGATGGCTGTTTTAAGGCCTTGACCTCTCTCATGCTTATCAAGCGTGTGCATGGGGATGCCTTCATATAATCGAGGATTTGATTGATGATACAAAATCTCTAGTCTTCTGTCATTTTCTATTGTCCCTCGGGGATGGAAATTGTACTGCCAATTGGATGGCTACTAAGGCTTCACGGGAATTGGGACTGTATGGTTTGGTTTTATCACCACCATCTACTCTGGCTTCTCTCGTCCTCAGAGATTCTATTCATCTTTTCTCATCTGACATGGACCAGTCAAGCAATGAGGTAGACATGGAAGAATCGGCGAAAGCTTTTCTATCAAAATAAGTAGATTTTTATGTACTAATAATATTAATAACAAAAATTTGTTATAGAGAATAAATAATAGGGTTATGAGTCATTTTTGTCCCTTAACTTCTATTTAAAGGGTCATTTTTTTCCCTCAACTCAAATATTTTATAATAAAAATATTAAAAATATATAATATGAGGCCCACTAATGATCAACTAATGGTAAGAAAATGACAAACAATGAGGAAGAGAATCTTTAAATTTGAGAGATAAAATTAACCCATAGTTGAGTTTGGAGATAGTTATGACCTTTCACGTATAGTTCAAGGATTAAAAATGACCCTTAATCCTAAATAACATATAAACACTCACATGTTCATACTCACCTATCAAAATCAAACCTGTAATTGTAACCTTGCCTTTCACTGGGGAGGTATTTGTGTCATTGTGGCAAGATGTCATCAGCTCCTCGCAATGGCATAAGCTGTACTTTTTAATTTTTATACTTACTAATTCTCTCAATCTTCACACATGCTTCTCTCCTTTGCCAATCAATTTTTAATTGTTCCTCTTTCATTATGCATTTCTTAAATCATCACTTTCTTCTTCTTTCCTATCATTTTCTCTCTTGCTCCTCCAATATGTCTGATTTATAGGTGCAAAATTTTGTGGATGAGTAAATTTATTCATCTGGACTTTCAAATAATAGGGGATTTTTTATCCAAAAGAATAATAAGGGATTCAAGAATAAATAGACCATGGGCACATGCTTCAATGAACTTCTAAAAAGAAAAAAGAGCTTGGCTCACATATCTTGACTGAAGAAGCTTTTGTGGATAAATAATCTTCAAGGAGATTGTGTGTGATTGGATTGGGCTTTTGTCATATCAAAAGTCCTTCAAGTTAAAGTTTTTTTTTCTTTTATGTAACTATCTTATTAGGTTAAATTTAAGTATTGTCAGATGCAATTGAAAGTAATTCTTTTAAAAGTATTTTCTACATTCACACAGACTCAAACTTGAGACTCATACTTAATAAGTTATAATCTCCTCTACTAAATCCAATGCCTATTGATTTAGCTAAAGTTCTTTTGACAAATATTGTTTCGATAGCATTTTTTTTAAGTTACACTCTAAAAATATGCTCATGCGAGTTTTAAAAGTTAATTTCCAAAAATTTATAAAGAGTTGCTTCTAATATTTCAAATGTAAGCTATAGAAGCCATGCCAATTAGCACAATGAAGTCTTTGACTACTCTCACAAGAGAATAATATAGGGAAAAAAATCTTTTAGACATTTCTTATGTGTCTAACAAATTTGAAATCTTTCACAATATCACAAAAGTTATAAGTGAGCATTTAGCCTCTTGGAAGATTCTACTTCTATCTTAATTTTCTAAATTAACATTAATCGAGTCTATCCTCTCCAAATATAAGGAATAAAATGGGAGAAAATATTTTTACATGTATTAAGTTGCTTATATTTTGAA